TTGGGTTTGGGGATGTCCCCAAGTGCTTGGAGCTGCTCAGCCCCTGGATATGGGAATGAGATGGGATGGGAATTTGGGATGGGGAAGGTGGGATGAAGACTGAAGGATGGGAACCTTGGAATGGGGAATGTGGGATGGGGAATTTGGGATGGGAATTGTCGAGTGGGAACTCTGGGATAAGGAATGTGGGATGGGGAATATGGGACAGGAAATTTGGAACAGGGAATGTGGGATGAGGAATTTGGGATGGGGAATACGGGGTGGGAACTCTGGGGTGAGGAATGTTGGATGGGGAATTTGGGATGAAGACTGTGGGATGGGGAATTTGGGATGGGGAGCATGGGATGGGGAAGGTGGGATGAGGATTTTGGGACAGGCAATGTAGGATGAGGATATTAGGATGGGGACTGTGGCACGGAGAATTTGGGACGGGAACCACGGGAAGGCTCGGGACGCTCTCACCTGTCCAGCAGCACCTCGATGGTGAGCTGCTTGTATCTGTAGGGACAGTCAAGGCACATTTGGGATCACCAATCCCCCAGGAATGCCCTGATCCCGCTCCAGGCAGGATGTGCAGTAGGATACTGGGTGAAGGTGAGCGGGATCCCGATCTGGTAGTCCCGGATGGCGTTGAGGACCCGCAGGTCCTGGCACATCCGCACGAACCCCTCCGGGGGAAACTTGTCCAGGAAACACTTCCCAAAGGAAGCTGCCTGTGGCATTGGGGGAAAAGAAAAGCAGGGGGAAAATCAAGAGGGAAAATCCTGTGGTTTCAGCCTCTCCCCTCCTGCTGCTGCTGCCGTGTCTGTGCTCAGATAATGCCACGAGCCAGGGGACAAAGGTGATTTGTGAGCAGGGAAATGGGATTGTTGGGAAGGATGAATTAGGGAAACCTTATAAATACGAGTGCCTAGCAAAAGACTTTGAGAATATGGAAAATATAAATGAAATAGAAATGATAGCAATTTTCGACTGTGGGGCTGAAAGCAACTGAATGCCTGAAGGCCCCTTTGTTTAGATCATGTTAGATGCTGCAAATATCAAAAAACAAACAGACATCCTCCCTAGGCATGGCAGGAAGGGTCCCAGATAAAATTTAGAGATAAGAAAAGCAGTAAAACATGGTAATATAGTGATTCCTATAGGTTGCCTGCAAATGTTAAAGAATTTGTATCTTGTATTAGACTGGTTAGTGGAAATTAGAATATTCAACATAGAAGAAGATTTAATGTATTGTAAACGGGAAAATCACTCTCTTATGCTCTTACTCTCTTCTTCCTTATTTTCTTGAGCTCTCTTCTTTTACTCTCACTCTCTCCCTCTCTCCACCCTGCTCTGAGCTGTGGCTGCAGTTCCCAGCAGGGCCTTATATAAACCCAAACCCTATGAAATAAACTGCAAACTTCAACACCAGAATACAGAGAGCGCCTGAGTTTGTCCCGACCGTCCCATGGGATTGCAAAAAGAGATGGAACAGAAGTGAGGTTTTAACCCCCCAGCCCGATTTTGCTGTCTGTGAGAGGGGGATTTTATCACTGCTGTCCACTGGGAACCTTCCTGACCTTCAGTTTGCTGGAGGAGCACTGCACTTCTCTGAGATGTGTGAAGACAAGATTTCAGAAGACACAGATGCTGCTGTGAGCTCTCTGGGGCAGAGCAGAGCCCTCACCACAACAGGCTGGGCCAGCAAATCCCCTGGAACAGCTCCAGCAGCTTCTTCTGTGCTCTCCATCCCCCTGAGCTGATGGGACCCCTGCATTTCCCAGACCAGACGAAAACATCCTCCCCCATCTGCATTGCAGGGCTCTCCAGGGGAAAGAGGGAGAGAAAACTCTGTATAATACCCACAGGAGGCTGGCTCGAGTGTTTGCTTCAAAATTTAGATTTCCTTCTGTTGTACAGCCTCCTGCAAGTGTTCTCCATCCCCCCTCTGCCAGACCATGCCAGCACTAGCATTTCTCAGCTGCCAAAGCCTGCTGGCCTGGGACTTCATTTCTCTGTGTCACAATCTACCAGCAGAAACCTTGTCATTGCAATTCCTCACAGGTTTTCTTCTGCTGTTATTGGGAAGGAGGAGGATTTGACAGGAAGGTCTCACAGATATCTGTGTAACAGGAAGATCTTTGAATGTAGAAGCTGAAGAAGGAATAGAAATGAGAGCAAGTTTTGATATAGAAGAGAAGAATTGCTGAGCCAGTCTGGCTGGGTAACTAGAAGGCAAAGGGTAAAATGAGTTGGAAGGGGCTTTTATGGCTCTGAGCAAAGGATAAATTCACCTCAAACAAAAGATGTTTTTACCAGGCAAAAAGATTTTCACAGGCAAACAAGAAAGCCAGTGTTACAAGTAGAGAAAAGATCTCAGAATTTTCCACTGCAAGAAAACTGAAAAACAACTTCTACCTTAAACTGTGACACACCAACCTTTTGTGATTGGAAAACAGTAACATGGATATGGTAATGTTAGTGATGATAGGCTACAGGTAATAGTAAAAGTATTGACTGGTTGTTATGTATTAAAATGCTGTGTAATGAAAAGTGTGAAATGCATTGTAACCAGAACTAGAGTTGGTTTCAGACAAACCCACAGCTGTGGGCTGGGCTCTCGTCACCCACACCCGTGAATTGCTGAATCCTTTGGATACAATAAACAGCATTTAAAGATCCCCCTGGAGCCCCCATCCCTCATTTCAGCCCTTACAAGCTGTTTTTTGATCTCAGCTCACCCTCAGCAGGGATTTCTGTGTCTCGGGCTCGTGCTCGTAGCCCGCAGCCTCGATGCACTGGCCCACGGCCTCGGGGAGCAGCTGCTGCTCCCGGATCTCCCGCAGGTACTCGTCGGCTTTCTGGCTCTCCTTCTGCAGGAAAAACGGGAATGGGGGAATTCCTGGGACACAGATCTGGGGGTCACAGCCTGGTGGGTGTTTGGGGAGGGAGGGGGGGGTACCTCGTATTCCTTCTGTGCCTCCAGGAGCAGAGCGCCCGGAGCCATGGAGGCGATGCGGAAAATTTCCTGGCTGGCCTCTGCCAGGGATGGGGATAAAACATGGATGAGGGGCTGATCCAGCCTGGGGGTGCCACCTGACCCCAGTGCCAGGAGCTGGCAGCACCCCCCAGCACCGGGGTCATGGAATGGACCTTAAATCCCATCCCATCCCATTATCCCATCCCACTATCCCATCCCATCCCCATTCCCATTATCCCATCCCATTTCATGTTCAGGGACACCTCCCACTATCCCAGGTGGATCCA